TGTTATAGTGGAACAAACCTATTCTATAGTTAATAGACTCTCCCACCTATAATAAGTAGGAGTAGTAATAGTAACGAGGAGTAGCTGAGTGAGTTGGTCAGTCAGTCGATGCCGGACGACCGTTAGTCGGATACTAAAGTATCAGCGACCACAACTAGATTACTCGGCGTCATTACCTATTATATCAAGTTCCTAACGTTTTGTACGTCGAACCTATTTTAGGACCGACTTAGTACAACTACGAGCCTCCACTGTGAAACCACTTCCATAACAAAGGGAACGCCACATTTAGTAAAAAGCATTAATGTGTCAAATTTCTGTCATGTAAATGTCAAATGTATTAAGAGATATCATATAAATGTCACAATTATTAAGAGAGATCATTAAAACAGTTCAGCTAATTGGGCACATTTATAAAATGTAATCATATAACTGGCTATATTTAATACTGTCTTGTTTTATTCCTCAGACACTGTTGTAGAGTGATTTCACAGTGGAGGCTTATATTCGTACTAAGTCGGTTCTAAAATAGGTTCGACGTACAAAACGTTAGGTCGGTCCTATCGGAAATTCTTTGAATTTAGCGCCTATTTAAAGATTATTTGACTTTCAGCTGAAAAGAAAAAAAAGTACCCATCAGTTGGGAAATAAAATGTAAATAAAAACCATTAAAGATTTATTAAAGATTTTCTCTGAAAACACAACGATTAAGCGATCCGTAAAATGTATTTTCAATACGACTGAATATTTCTGGTTTTGCTTTTATCTTCTGCGAAAATCTTATTTTTGTTATGTTTGATATATCTCTCTGTGAAGTAGCAGCCGTAGCACAGTTCTCCGCGTTACATTTACGTTATGGGCTTGCTAAGCATAGCCACCATGTTCACCAGTTGTTCTCTATTTATGCTTGTCTACCTAATTTGCATATGATACTACAATTTTATTTGTTTTAGCATGGTTTCTTCTGTTTATTCTGCATATATTTTCTTCCTTTAATTGAGATATTTGTAGAAAAGCGTTGCAGGGCATGACTATCAATGGATAGCGTGAACAGCATTGGCACAAGTGCTTCTTGCAAAACTTATTTTAAACATTCATTTCAGTTATACACCTATGATTAAAATACGAAATTGCTTACGAAACAATTACAAAGAGAAGATAGATCAATCCCATAAGATAATAATAACAATAATGATAAGAAAAAAATATTTTGAGCCCAAAAGCAGATTCTGTGGTGATTATTCAGTGACAGTTGAAAAACTTGTGTCAGGTCGCACTGTGTTAGCATTCAACGAATATAAAAGTCGATATGACAGGATGGGCCAATATCCGTTGTGTAAAATTTGCAACTTTTGTAGGAAGGACACTGCAAGAAGTTAGTATGAGCACCACCCATACCAATTTACAGACATAGGACCGGTGACAATTTTATGGGACTTTACAATACACACAGACAGAAAAATTAATGCTAATTGCCCAGACATTGTAATCAAAGACCACGGGAACACAATGCGCTTTCTTATTGACATGCAGTCCCTGAAGATTCTAATGTAGCTTTGAAGACCTTAAAAAAAACTATGAAAATACAAGGATCTTGAAGTGGAAATCTAAAAAATGGGGCACACGAATACATCAATAATTCCAGTTCGGGGTTCGATAGGAAAAGGTTTCGACACACCAATTGAAGGGCTCCTAGTAGCTCATGCCCTAAGGAAATACAAAATGTTGTTCTCACAAGCACAGCTCACATCTTAAGAAGGGCTTTGTGCATGGAAAATGTGTATGATCTTAGGCTGATTTATTTATTTTTATCTTTTTACACAGTTTTTTATCGAATATTTTATGTGAGTGTCCGAGTCTACAAATTGGTAATAACAGCTGATATGAAACCATTCAGCAGTAATACATTAATCGGATATAGATTGATCCAAATCAATTGACATTTAATATCGTCTCCTCCTTCTCCTCTTGTAGCAGTAGTAGTAGTAGTAGTAATGAAGTAGGCTAGCCTCAATCATATTTAAGGAGTTATTCTGGGATAGATTCAAATATATCCGAGTATATTCTGGAAGGTGCTTAATCGTTACTTATATGAAGCCATTCAACAGTAATCGGGTATAGATCGGTCAAAATCAATTGCCGTTGAATTTCAACCCGAGAGAAATTTGTAAGAATAACTATTACATAACATTTAAAAATATAGCTTAATGTAGATCAGGAGGTTGGTATATATTTTGTAGGTATAGACGGTATAAGATTATGAATCTTCCAAATGAGTCATCTTTAGAAAGAAAGAATGAAAGGAAAGAGGAAAGACAGAAATAATGAAGTAGGAAAGGAAGGGTGGAAGGAAGAGAGGAATAAATAAATAAATAAATAAAGATTGAATGAAAGGAAGGAAGAAAGAAATAATAAAGTAGAAAAAGAAGAAAGGAAGAAATTAATAAAGAAAAAAGAAAGAATGAATAAAAAGAAAGGATGGAAGGAAGAGCATTACACTTTGTCATTACCTCAAATAAATAATGAACCATTCCATTTTAATTATGAGAAGGAAGGAATGGAATGGAATCATTCAAAATCTGCTTCAGTGAAATAAGAAGGAAAATAGAAAGGAAAGAAGGCAGAGCAAAGAAAGTAATTGTAAAATGGACATATATTATTTTAGTCTTTTATAATTCTATTTATTTAATGTTACTCATGTTTCCTTGATAATTATCTTTCAATAATGAAATATATTTTAACTGGTGGTCAGGATACAAAGAGAGAATTAACAATAATAGAATATAAAATAACAAAATCAATTCCCTCCATATTTTGGCAAATTTGTTAAGCCAAAATATTTAACGATAAAATAATGGAAATTCCAAGGCTATTTTATAGTCGCAGAAATCGTAAGGCACGCATTCAATCAATAAATTAAAAACTATAACTCATCAGAAAATTAAAAACTTGAAAACCTTGAATTTTACTGCTAGTAAACGTACTTATAATCAGACATGTATATTCAGCAGAGGGTACCTCGACGTGGTGTAATGGTTAGAAAGCTTGTCTTGCTAGATCAATTACGACTGAGTAATGAGTTCGATCCTCACTGGGTGCCCCATACTTTCGGCCGTGTGCCACATCTAAGCTGGGCTTAGAAAATCGTGGTGGAATCGTTAGCAAACTTGTCTCGCTAGGACAATCTGAGCTACGCTTGGAAAATCACTATTGTATATTCAGCAGTAAGACATTTTTCGTGTGTGGTTTTCTTTCTTTTTTGTTTTGTTCACTGCTGAACAGCGTCTTAAATCTGTCTCTAGGGACCGTCGCCCTGCAGTATAAGATGAAATAGGAGGATCCACGCGATTGCACAGCTTATTCAGGAATTTGGAAGTTGTAATAAAGATTTCGATAACTTTCATTCCTCCCGTAAAACATACACATGTCTTCTTTGGTAGGAGACAGCAATTTACAATCTGCGCAGTACTAGTCGCACAATGGTTTAAAGTCATTCTAACGACACTGCAATTGTTTAAATCGAGTACACAGGCGATATCCGAAAACGATTGACCAGATTTATCCATTTTGAAACCATCCGCTTTTGTTGCATTATAGACAGCTCCTTCCTCTTGGTTATTTTTTGCCGTAACCTACAAAATGGCGCGTTATCGTAAAGTCAACAGTTGTCAAGTATCTGTAAAATGAGTGAACTCTTCGTATGACAGCTTCGCTTAAATTGATGTTCGCGAAAACTTAGCATATTTCATTGAATCAGGACAAATGACACAATTGAACCGTTAATGTTAACTTTCGTCTCAATTGCACAACATCCATTCATATATATATATATATATATATATATATATATATATATATATATATATATATATATATATATATATATATATATATATATATATATATATATATATATATATATATATATCGTCTGCTGTGAGGAAGGTTGGTTCATTGTGTCGTGCCAAAAAACATATAGGTTGAATAAATCCGGCGAGAAGACAACCCTTTCTATTTCTGCATATTTACTGGATTCATTTTGTATATTTATGCAGGTGGTTTTCTTCCATCTACGGACAGTCGGCTTTAACAGACCCCTGTTAATGTTTTCTTCCCGTATAGGTTCTAGATTATTCTAATATCCTTCCCAAATATGCCAAGGTTGTCCGTGGAATAATTACAGGCTAATTTTAACAAAAGAATTTAAATAGCTACAAAAGAATTACAAAAAGCTGTTAATATCTTAATTTAACACACAACGCCCCCCCCCCCAAAGATTTATTTATAAAAAAAGTGTTAAAAGGTCAATTGATAAAAGAATACCATAAGGTTGAAACTAAGTTAGGGGATTCAACTGTTCTAATTTTCACACGTGTATTGAGCACTTTTTAATACTACTGTTTTCTGGTCTAATTCAACTCTGACTATTAAACTTTCATATATATTTATATATATATATATATATATATATATATATATATATATATATATATATATATAATAATAAAAAGAAAGAACAGTAAGATATATAATCCTGTGTTCTTATTGATATTTTTATTTTTACAAAACAGTGCTTAATGTAAATTTACAGAGCATAAATATTATAAATTAACTGATTTAAAATATGGATGCATCCCTACGCTCCCTAAACTTAACTCTTTTTCGAACGTAACTCATAATTGATACAACAATAGTTAATAAAAATGAACACGCTACCGCCCCTGTCTAAATGATTGGATTTCTCTGTATCCTTGGAAACAAGAAATTATGAATTATACGTGGGTTTAAAACTCAGTAAATTTAAAAATGAGTTATTCTAAAATTCGCTTGAAGATGAAACAGAACTAATGCTTTTAATTTAATTATATAGTTAAATTTTTAGCTTCGTTTTTTGAAACATGGTAATTCTTGTGTAGCGAAGAAATCAAATTTTAAATCAGTTAAGTTAATAATATATATATATATATATATATATATATATATATATATATATATATAAC